ATATTTTTCATGGTGAGCTAATAAGTTTTTGTTTACCTTATAAATCCCTTTTTGAATATGCTAAAAATTGTTGAAGTTAGTAGTTTTGTAGAGCACATACTTATCTACAAAATGTAATATTGAATTAAGCTGTAGCGTTTACCTAAGTAAGACTATAAGTATTTTTTTCAAGAGGTCATTTCAAGGCGAAATGGTTGTCGATTTTTCAAAAATGAGAGGCCTTATTGCAAGTCAAAAAAAAGCTTCAAATAGTACATTTTGTAAAGTAACTTCTGATCTACTAGATGAGACATAAATAAAGATCTCAATTTTTAGTCTCGAATTGTTGTTTAAACTAATTTTCTTTTTTGACTTTTTCAAAGATTATTTCACTACTCTCGAACAAAGAGCGAGAAAAAATTTCTAGGTTCGTGTTCGAAAAGACTATTCTAACTTATAGCTTTTGACTCGTTTACAGAACTTTCTAGCAGGTTTAAAAGTGAACAAACATCTTGTCTAAATTTTTTTCGATCATCCGTGAATAAGAAATGTATTAATACTTTTTTAATAGAACTTTTCTTAAATAATATGAAAAACTTCTTTTTTACATTGTAAATACATGCAGATTTCACAAAAGAGTACTTCGCAACGTCTTTATAAGCATATGGTTTGGTATTGTCGAATGAAATATGATGGTATAATTATGTATCAAATGTTGGTCTTTTTTACTGGAAGAATTTTGTCAACATTATAGTGGTGATCGATCACTTGTCTTTGTTCAATATAATGAATTCATACCAGAGATGTCCATCGCGACTGAAAACCTGCCGCTGCCGCGCCGCGGCATTAGAAAAAAAAAGTTACCGCGGCGCGGTAGCGCCGCGATGGCTTATAAAAAAAAGCTGCCGCGATGGTTTTCAAAAAAATGTTTTGAATTTCACTGCTGTGACCGTATTGGACCAGAAATATTGGTACTAGTCCATCAGATTCATTCAGTCTCAGGGTGTTTCATTTGTAAACAATGAAATTCTATCAAATTCATGCAGTTTTTCAATGTCCTCGAAAAAAAATGTTGCCGTTACCGCGATGGCTTTTAGAAAAACTGCCGCCACCGCGGCAGCGCCGCGATGGACATCTCTGATTCATACACGATCAGTCATCTTAAAAAAGATAGAAAACATGGGTGTCGAATAAAAATCATCGCTACACAATACAGTTTGTGGAGCTCATCCGACTTATGTTCAGGTAGCATTCGACGATGTTCTTCTCATTTGGTGATGCTAAATATTGTATCGACTACCGATTGATCTTCGACCTCTTCTCAAACCTCACGAAGTCAATATGACCAATTTGCAACAAATATGTAAGGTAAAATTTGATCGTTGAAAAGAAAATATAATTAATAATGAATCGTTTTTTTATTAAATGATATAATATAAATCTCAAGAATTTTGAACTATCCGGAAAACAAAATCTATGCATAACAAGAACGAAAAAGCGAGGTTTCAGTACTTTCAAGTATGAATGAAGTACCGTATTTCATGCTTACTTCAGAGTACTGAAATTTCTCTTTTTCCTCCTTGAGATATAATCATAATAGACTCTATCTGAATTGAAATCTAATGATTTATATTTTTTCTAAATTTTTTTTCATCAGAAAATAACAATTTTCCAATAAACTATTTGTAGACTTAATATCTACAAATCGAGATCTGAAAAAAAATCTATTCTGTTAACATAATCTTGTTGTTTTATATGAAAATGTTTGCGAAGTATTTTTAAACCACAGGGTTTCTTTTCTAAATAACGTATTACACATTATAAATGAATCGTAAAAAAGTCGAAGTACTTCAGAATAAATAGTGAAGACCAGTTCTCTTAAGATTAATCTATGTGAATAATACAAAAGCCGATCTCATTACGAATTTCTTAGACGCTTCACTGATTCCAACCGTGATGATTATAAGTACATCCCTACATATGGGGCAACTTATGTCACATCGTCATCGTTGTATGCCAAAACTTGAAACATACTTTATATTATATTGTCTAGATAACAAATGGTACTTTCAATAGATGTCGCTCAAAGATAGTGATTCATTATTTTTAACAACTTCTCTATTGTAATTTTAATTAATATTTAGTCCAATTGCTTTCATATGTAAAATACGATCTATGGTTAAGTTGTGTTGTCTTTTATGAGAAACTCCAAGCATTTCGTCACTGAAGAAGATCACTCAACGACAGGCCATACGATTAGGTGGGGGATGCTGGGGTATTTCCCCCGGCTAATTTTTTTCTTATGTATTGGTTTTCTCCCTAAGAATTTTAGGAACATAACTCTTTTTATCTTTTAGTAAGTACGACGAGCTGTGCACAAACAAACTTGTTGTACTTTCTGATACAAAATAGTTTTCTCTGCATAACTGCAGGGAGAACTGCTTGCTGTATCACATACGAACTATTTTCTAGCGATGTATGCTGTTTCCTCTTTCAATGTGTCCTATTTTCTCTTTAAATTTGGACTATTTTCTCTCTCAATGTGTCCTATTTTCTCTTTACATTTGGACTATTTTCTCTTTCAATTTAAACCGATGTCTGTTTGAATTTTCAAACAGAAAAGGAATCATTTGTAAAGGCAATAAAAACAGGTAAATATTATCAATGATACTTCTTGTTCAAAAATCTCTATTTCAGTTTACAATATTTTATATCAAGATTGAAAATATGTCCAGTTCTGAAAAACGACTTTGTCCTATTTGTTGGGTAAGCGTTCAAGTGAAAAATTTCAAGCGTTACTGGTGTACTCATCATGAACGAAATGAAAAAAAAGAACATATGATGAAGTTTTCAACACCTTAAAGACGAATATTTCAAATCAACACAAAATTACCACAACACCATCAATTGACAGGGCATACGATTAGGGGGGAGGGGGAAGCTGGGGAATTTTCCCGGGCTAAATTTTTTCTCGCATTCCAGCTTTCTCCCTAAAAATTTTCTTGACAAGTAGTTTGAAATTTCTCCTCATTAGTTTGGATAAAAAGTTCAGATTCAAAGCGAAAGTCATTCAAACTCTGAGAAATATAAGCTAGTTTCAAGGAGAAAATAGCACAAGTCTGAAGAGAAAATGAATCCATTTCTAGAGAAAATAGTTCAAATTCAAAGAGAAGATAGTTCAAACTCAGAGAAAAACAGGTCAATTTCAAGGAGAAAACGATCCAGCTCCAAAGAGAATAGCCCAGTCTCAAAGAGAAAATGAACGAATTTCAAAATAAAATAGTTCAAATTCGAAGAAAATGTCGTTCAAAATCAGAGAAAATAGGCTAGTTTCAAGGAGAAAATGTATAATTTTCAAAGAGAAAATGGTTCAAATCCAAAGAGAAAGCAGTTTACATCCAAAGAGAAAATGAATCAGTTTCAAAGAGAAAAAAGTGCAGACTGAGGGAGAAAATGCATAAATTTCAAGAGAAAGTAGTTCAAACTCAGAGAGAAAATAGACCAGTCTCAAAGAGAAAATGCATAATTTTCAAAGAGAAAATAGTTCAAACCCAAAGAGAAAATAAGTCAAATTCGGAGAGAAAGTAGTTCAGACCCAGAGAGAAAATAGGCCAGTTTCAAGGAGAAAACGCATCAATTTCAAGAGAAAATAGTTCAAACGTAGAGAGAAAACAGATAATTTTCGTTACATAGCGATATAACCTAGCCTTTTGAATTCAGAATACGCGAGATTTTATAGATGCTGTTCTAATGATGTGAAATGCACATGAGCTGACTGATTTCAAAATTTTTCTCCCAGTTTACAGATTAATCTAGATATGTGGACAACACTATTTGTTCTAAGTCTTCGGTGTCTTTTAAAAAATATTTTAGTTTAATACGTCGGTTGTCCCAAAATATTTCCCACGTAGTTTGTTTTCGGAGTGGTCCCGCAGAGAAAATAATAAAACCTTAATTTTGTTCAGAAGGTGCTTCTTGAAAAGCTTTGCAAAAACTGTATGAATAAATCCTATTTACTTGTTCTGATAATTCTTCCGTACTGAAAATAAAAAACATGTATGATAGTGCTATTTCTTACCATATTTAACATAATAAAAATATTTGGAATACCTTTTTTTTGCTATAGATATTTATTTATACAGCTTTTGTAAAACTTTCTACGGTGTGCCTTTTGAAAACAACAAGGTGCTATCGTTTTCTGAAGCTGGGATACATGCAAAATAAAAGTCTTAGAGAAAGTTTTATCATGTTAAATTGTGTGGGAGTAGCACTATCATGTATTTTTTATTGTGATTATGAAAGAATTATCAGAATAAGACAATAGGGATTTATTCCTACAGGCTTGATGGGAGCTTTTCACGAATCATCTTTTAAAAGAAAGATCAAAATTTTATCATTTGTCTGTGCAGAGATATGTCGAAAACAAAGTATGTTGGAAAATTATGGAACGCTCGGTAAATGCACAAAAATGACGATGCTATTAAGGGTAAAAATAGGCAAAACACTAGGCAAGTTTTTTAAAGAACACTACTTTAGAAATTATCCATTGGAATTATTTTGCGCAGAAAGAATGAACTTGTTTCTCATCGATGTGATTTTTTGCAGCAATTTCTCAACATGAAAAATGGCGAAGGAAATATTGTTCAAGTTGGTAACGAGATTTTCAAAGATCGCCACTGGAAATATATTTTACTATAAAAAAACCTACAGAGACCCGTTTCTCTCTACTTTTGGGAGACTTTCTCCCTTAATTTTTCCCCCAGCTTACGAAAACCAAACGAAAGCTATGCTCAACGAATATGTAGAACATATTCGAATGATTCTTATCGTATATTTAATTGATTCTATCATCAATTTCAGTCACAAATAGATTTTAAACGAATCTGATCGTATGAACAAAGAAAACGATACTGTGATAATTTTTGTTAAAAGACATTATCGTTACAATATCAGATTAAAAAAATTTGATAAAGTTTTGTTTTATTTTTAGATGACTACATCTGAATTTTATAATAATTTAATAATTTCATCTATATTTCCTTTTGAAACTGGCAAAAAAACCAAGTAGTTCAAAAAGTCGACGTCATAGTTTTCTCGATGGTCTCGCTTTATTACTTAATGGTTCAAATAAATGTACATCAGTTTATCCATTGTTGAAAGAAAAAAAAATATTAATAACACGTAATAAACCATTAAAACATTATGATAAAATCTATTTTGATGAATTTTGTCGTTTAATAAAAGAATATTCACAACATTGTTTAACATCAAATGAACATGATATGAACAAAATCTATTTATTATTAGAATCTATTATATTTGAATATAACAAGAATAGATGTATTAAACGTATAACTGATGATTTATTTGATGATGTTGTTTCAAATCTTAAAAAATTATCAAATGTTGATGTTGATAATTTATCTCAAGAAATTACTTGTGATAAATTGAAAAAAGGTTCAACAGATTATTATCATGTAAAAGAGAAGAATCGGTCTTTAAAAGAATATATTTTAAAATTATTTAATTGGATCAATTATATTACTTCAAATCGACATGCTATCAAAAACAATAAAAACAATGTTGAACCAGAAATTATTTTGAAATTTCAAGTAATTGGTGAATTCTTATATAATTGTGAAATATTTCGTTCTATACTATCAAAAGCAGATTCAATCAATAATGTTTCAATCAATAATGATTCAATCAAATATGACTCAATCAATAATGATTCATTCAGTAATGATTCAATCAGTAATAATGCTGAACGTATTCTATATTATTTAGATAGAGTATCGGCACATCATCGATCATTGAATTCAATATTAAACACTTTAGAAAAAAATAAATCTGAATATGGTGAAATATATAAAAATATTGATTGGCACTTTATTAAACCAATTAAAGAAATCATTAGATTAAAGACAATACCATCATCTTCATTTGATAAAATTTTGTTAGCATGTGGTTTAGCAGATAATGAAACAAAAAAAGAATTTCAAGATAAATTTATTCAAAATAAATTTAATTCATATGATTCAAATTTAAAATTATCAACATGTTTACATAGTGAAATTCGAATGATAGATTATTTAATTGAACAAAATATAAAAGAAGTTCATGATAAAGATGTAGAAATTGGAATATCGAAATTACCATGTTATTTATGTTCATTGTATATTGAGAAATTAAATATTGATTTCAATCG